GGTACGATATCTATATCAGTAATAGGGCTGCACAATTAATCAAATTTCTAATCGCGATTACAATTACGGATGTCACAATAATGTAGTCGTTCAAAGCGCCAATTAATCGTCCAATTAAAAGTCCACTTATGTTATTCTGTGTGCTTAAGATGTGTTTTTTCTTTCTACAAATAATCGCAATTACAATTTCAAGGGAATAATCGACAATTATGATTTTTGTCATAATCGTGCAGCCCTAATCAGTAAGATCAATTCCATGCGATATAATTAAATCTAGCGGTATCATGATCAGATTTTTTCTAGATCCTGCATTAAATTTATATTTTGACCTCACTATTCGGGGAACAGACAGTCTTTATAGATTGGACAGCGCAAGTACTTCTTTCATTTAAGCGGGTAGAACAAAAGCCATCATAGGAGTTATTTGAGAATTGGCTTACTAGTCATATGGAGCGTAGCGTCCTGGAGGTGTTGTCCGACAGGAGTTCCGCTAATCATGCTAACAACATGCCAGTAACATGCTAATCATGATGGGAAAATGCTAGTAACATGCTAAGCATGCTAGAATCATGCTAGCAACATGCTAATCGTGTTAGAAACAAGCTAGCTAACAGGCTAATCATGCTAACAATATGCTAGTAACATGCTAATCATGCTATAAACAAGCTAGCAAACATGCTAATAACTTTGTTAATCATGCTAGAAACATGCTAGCAACATGCTAATCATGCTAGCAACATGGTAGTAGCTTGATAATCATGCTAGAAACATGCTAGCAAACATGTTATTAACATGCTAATCATGTTAGAAACATGTTAGCAACATGCTAGCAACTTGTTAATCATGTTAGAATCATGCTAGCAACATGCTAGTAACATGCTAATCATGATAAAAGCATGTTAACAACATGCTAGTCATGCTAGAAACAGCCTAGCAACCACCCCAGGTACCCTAACAATATGTTTTACCGGTATATCTATTTTTCTGATAGACTGTATTGCCTTGAAAACATTCAAACTTTAATCTTTAAAACTATTTTAACTTTCAAACTACTTCAAACTGAAAACTTTCAGACTGCAAGCTTTTAAAACTACTTCAAACCTTCTGGCTAGGCTTTTTCGAGCCAACTTAAAGTTCGTCTACAAACTTTACTCATCTGGTTTCTATTATTATTTTCAGTTTCAGTCTAGAGGCTTTAATTAATTAATTCATTCATTAAATAACTTAAATTATTATTTTATTTATTTATTTAGTTTAAAAATAGAAGCTTATTTATTTATTTTTCTTTTTTATTATAGAGGCTTTTTATTGTTTATTTAAATTGTATTAAAATGTATATTTTTTATTTTATTGTTTCATTCTAGAGACTTTATTTTATTTTTGTATTCCAATTCTGTTTTAATCTAGAGACTTTGTTTTATTTATTTAATACATTTTCTACTCTAGAGTCTTTTCTTTTTTATTTCTGTTTTATTTTAGAGACTTTGTTTTGTTAATTTTAATTAATTTTAATTTTTTATTTCTATTCGATTCTAAAGCTTTTTATTTTTCAATTTCTGTTTCATTCTAAAGACCGTTTTATTGTGTGTGTATTTTTGTTTGTTTTGTTGTAGAGGCTTTATTTTATTTTTCATTTTTGTATTTCTTTATTACTTAGTTTTTTTTAGATTTGTGTGTGTGTGTGTGTGTGTGTGTGTGTGTTTTATGAGTACATTTAACAAAATATGAGTGATGCTTACTTGTGTAAAAATCACAATGCTGTGATAATGCCAAGGCTCCAGCTAGTCAGCATTATTTTTTTTTTTTGCAAGTCACAGATCTTGTAGTGTGCATACTGCGGATTTTCTGCAAGCAAAAGAAAGCAAGGCATTGTGAAGCACGATCAAAGAAAAATAGACAAAGCATCTAATTTTTCTTATTTGAACTGTTCTGTGCAAATTAGTGTAAAAACGTGCTGTGTGCAACACAACAGAAAACTGTGAGTCTGATTATAGTGTTATTAGACTTTAGCCATTTATATGTTTATAAGCAACTGAAAAAAGCACAAATGTCAGGGCATGTCAAAACTTCTCCAGGCCCCCAAAACACCCTCAGACCCCAGGGGGTTAAGTATGCACAGGACGACGACCTTCTGTCCTGTAGCGTGTGACTGGCTTAAGGTGTTCTTACTGGGGTTTAGTGTCACTAATGTCATGCCAATAAAGCGCAGTAACACTGAGAGGGATGCTGGAAGAGGAGGAACAGCCTCATGTGTTCAGCGGTCACAGGTGATGCTGCTGTTTCTCCTCCTCTAATTGATTACTAATAGCAGGAAGAGACTAGAGGGATTTACTGAAACACTCACACACACACACACACACACACACACACACACACACACGTCTCTCCTGCCCCTGGAGACATATCATCTTCGGGAGGAGAGACATGCAGGGATGGTATGTGAGGGAGGAGATGGGAAAAGTGCTTCAGTTAAAAACTTTTAAGACCTTTTCAATGTCTTTTCATGAAACAAATAGTTCTGCTTATGAAGACGTTGTAAAATGGTAAATAAAAAAAAAATGCATATTTATTGAATTCTGCAATAAGGCACCAAGTACACAGGTCAATAATATATTAATATATAATACTGTTTTTCTTTATTTTATTCTCCTTCATAATAATAATATTAACAATTATTATTCAGAATGATAATTGTTATATATTATTATACACTAGGGTTCCAGCATCATGTATGTATGAATGGTATGTATGTGGGTCAAAGACGAAAAAGGGTTTAAGCATAAAAACAATGTGTAATACTGCTTTAAATTGTTGTTGTTTTTCCCCAAAAAAATTGTTTTAAATGTCCGTTTAATTTAATTGCAATTTTGTTTTTGTTTTTCTGAGCAAAAAATAAATATCATGCATTTTCTCTGATTTACAGAAGAGACCCACTAAAATGTCATTCAGTGTAACAATCTTGTTATGCATATTTACAACAAAAATCTATTTATGACATATTAAAAGACTAATATTTGAAACCTTAAAAGTACACACTTTACATACATTTAATGTGCTTTCTATGGACATAATATCACTTTTGTAAATTTCTTTTGATGCGGACATCTTAATGTCTTTGACCCATGTATATATGTTTGTATTTATTTATTTAAGACATCTGGATAGAAATCACAAAGAAAAGCTTAGAATAGGATAGAAGTAGGACTGATTGGAAAATTTACGTTACATTTACAGAGCTCTAATATTTAGGCTAGTTTACATTTTACATTTACATGAACTTATATTTTCTTAGACATTTTATCCAAAGCATTTTTCTCTTTTAAATGTAATATAAATATATGTATATAAAATGTTTTAGTTTAGAGTTTGTGTTTTGACATTTATATACACAGTTGGCATCATTTAAGTAACCGGATCTGAATTTTTTTTCTGTTTAATAATAATCTTAAATTTACATAATAAAAATTATTATTACTATATGAAATTTCTGTATTATAATAATAATAATACAATTAATAATAATGATGATGATGATTATTAACTAAAGTTGGAAATTAAAATAGTGTTTTTATCATATTGAATCTTTACTTTTGCTTTGTAAAATAAGATAAATATGAGTGAAGCTGCTTTTCGTGAATGGATGAAGAACATTATTTCACAAGAGATGCACATTGACAAATGATTCTGCAGAGAGTATTCTGTGTGTGTGTGTGTGTGTGTGTG